AAAAAATTCAAAAAATAAAATCCTTCGAGAGGTAGTTATATTACTACATCTATTAGTTAGGAAAATTTAAAAACTTAAATTTGGACATGTTTTGCAAAAAATGTAGGGAAAATGTAAAACGGCTATAACTTTTGCATACGATGTCGGAAAAAAACGTATAATATATCAAAATGTTCGGAACAAAAATCCGCATCCGATGGAGACCGCCTATGGCCTGTTTGCAAATTTTTAGAATCCTCAAATTCTAAAAGGAAAAAAAATTATGCTCAAATTTCAGTTTTTTTTTTGAATTTTTGTTAAATCTGGTCAAACTATGGTCAAACTACTTATTCAAGAAGTATTAGTGTTACTAAATAATTATTCAAGAATATTAGTGTTACTAAATAATTATTTCAGTTTTTTTAAATTTTGGTCAACTATAGTCAAACTGTGGTCAAACTACTTATTCAAGAAATATTAGTGTTACTAAATAATTATCAATTTTTAGAACAATAGTTTCAAACTCAAACAGTGAAATGTGTGACTTCATGCTCAAGCTAAATTCCTGAGGGTTAATAGGATTGACATCTTACTATCGTCAGGAAAACAATAAGTGCAGACTTGGAAACAAGGGAGAATAGAACTCGGAAGTTAAGCGTGCTCAGGCTAGAGTAGTGAGAGGAATGGTGACCGTTCGGAAAGTTAGATGATTTGGAATGATGAGGGGTGATTAGAGATTAAAGGTTAAATTGAGCAGTGATGAGGGGTGATTAGAGATTAGAGGTTAAAATAATTTAAAATTTTAAAATTCAAACCTTTAGTCCCGGTTTCAGTTAGAACCGGAACTAAAGAGGAAGGCTTTAGTACCGACCCTTTAGTTCCGGTTCCAGAACCGCGACTAAAGGCTTTTTTTACTAGTGGAAAAACCTAGGCAAATTTGATAATTTTGACCTGTGGATGAAATCATTTCACAAAATAAACTGCTTCTAAAAAAATTTCATTGAGCTGACCTTTTTGAGTGGCGTCCGACATGAAGGCGTCACACTACACTGTGCAATGGCTGACTGACAGGCGCTACACGCCTAGCCAGCGTTGCACCCCAGACTGCCTAAAAATTGCCAAGTCAATGTGCAGAGCCTAAGAGCTAGGCGTCACACTGTAACACTGTATAGTGTGGCGCCTAGCTCTCAGACGCTGCATTAGTGGTTGCACTACAAAATGAAGCAATCACTAATACAACACCTAGAAGCTAGACGTTACACTATATAGTATGACGCTTAGCTCTAAGGCGCTGCACACTGACTTAGTAATTTTCGGATCACACGGGTGCGATACTGGCCAGGCGTGTAGCACCTATCTGTGAGGTGTTGCACAGTGTAGTATGACGCCTTCGTGTCGGGCGCCACATAAAAAGATTAGCCGTATGAAATAGTTTCACGGATAGTTCATTTTGTGATTTAATTATGTCCATGGGTCAAATTTGTCAATTTTGACAGAAACCTACCGTCCTCGTCGGATTCGTTCGTCTTGTCCGAGCCATGTGATGCGCAACAGTCCAAGAAAAAAGCTCGGCCGGGCCGGATAGATACGAAGCTGTATCTCTCTGAAGTTGACTCGCCGGGCTCGCCCACGTCGGAAGGCCGCGAGCTTACTCCACTCGGCTCCTTTAAGAAGAATGACGGCCAGCGACGACGCGTGCCCGTCTCGCCCGAGTGGGGGCCTTTTACTACTCATTTTATTCTTAAGATTCCGTAAAGTGAAACATTCTTCCTTTATTTCAAATTACTCGTCGCAGAAATAAATACATCTAAAATTAAAATACATCTAAATATATCCATACTTACGACAAGTATTTCGGAACGGAAGAAGTAGTTGACTAAGACTTCATTAAGTCTCAGTCGATGGTATATCCGAGAGATTTTACATTAAGATCCGTGCAGAGTTTTTTATTCAGTTTTTTTCTTCTCCCATGTTATGTCACTTAATCGAGACTTCGTTAAATCTCAGTCCATTGAGACCTAGCCACACCCAAAGTGAAATACTATTACAACTGAAAACCGCGCAGGAGTAAAGTGAATATTTGCTTTCTATATGTAAAGCATGCATGACTAGACTCTAAAAACACACACACACGCAGGAATAAAAGCGTCATGGCATTCGAGAATCGGAAAACAATGCTATATCCGTGTGATCTTACATTAAGATCTGTACAATTTTTTTAATTTTCCTTTTTCTTTCTTGCATGTTATGTCTAGGACTTGCACGTGAGCCATCTATTCTTCCTGACGCATGCATGCACATGCACATTAGACATTTTCGCGCGGAGAAGATCTACTAATTCAGAAGACTTCTTCAAGAGTATCCCCAGGCCTCAGGGCATCAGAATATACATAAGGGATCTCCTCACAAATACTCCCATCCGGTTCTTTTTAGTTCGCATATAAGATTTGTCTGAAGTCAAACCTCGTAAACTTTGACCAAATTTATAAAAAAAGACAAATATTTAAAATGTGAAATCAACAACATTAGATGCGTCATGACTTTACCTTTCATATTGTATAAATTTAGCATTATAAATGTTAATATTTTTTTATATAAATATGGTCAAACTTTACGAAGTTTGACTTCAGACAATCCTTAGGGCATGTACAATGGTTGATAAGATAGTCTTATCTTAAATTTTACATGTAAATTAGAGATGACAAAAAAACATGTCTATAATAGATCATCTCTTAGTCTTATTTTTAATAATTAGTTGTTCCTAAAAAATATGGTGAGACAAATTATGCTAAGAGATCATCTCTTGTCTTCTCTTAAATAAGATAAGACAAGTCTTCTCTTATGATTTCTCTCTCATCCACCTCATCATTTATCCTACATAGCACTCTTAAGATAGAACCATTGTACATGCCCTTATATGCAATGTTTCTGCAGCCGCAGCGTGTACTAGTGCATTGTTTCCGGCTCCCGCACCTTTGCCCTCCTCGTTCGTCTCCAACCGAACTCAACCCACCTCCTGTCCCAACTGGCCGTTGCCGTCGCCATCCATCCTCGTGATCGAACCCATCCATTCGTGTCCAAATCTCCTACGTACGATACTCGTGCCCAAATTGCGCTGCTACTCCGCCGGCCACCTAGCTAGCCGGCTCTCCATCGATATATACTCCCGGTCCAGCAGCCTCCCCTCCTCCCCATCTCACCGGAGCTTCACCTGCGCTGCGCACGCGCCATTGATTCATCCCAGCCTCCCCGTGTCCAACCTCAGCGCCTTCCGTTCTCGCCGCTATCCAAGATTCCGAGGTACGACCATCCTGCCCAACCATGTTTTTTTTCCTCGGATTTTTGGTCGCTCGTCGCTCGGGCTTAGTTTCGGGTTCGTGGGTGACCATGGGGGTCCGGCGGCGGCGGCGACGTTTACGGCTCTGGCCGTGGGGTTCCGACCAGACAGGCTTTCGCTGCCGCTGCCGCTGCGCTGGTGCCAGTCAACCGGCGGCCAGGGGGGCAGAGGCAGCAGCTTTCCATGTGCATTTGCTCGCGGTGTGGGCGGCGAGGTGCGTGGCACCGCCGGAGCCTGCCTGCTCACGAGTCACACGCCGGGTTAGGCGGTTAGGAGAAGCACGCAAGAAAGGCGGACGGACGGACGGACGGACGCCGGGACAAGCGTGAGGCCGCTGATGTAGCTCACGAGCTGCGTGGCCGCGTGGCTG